TCTTATATGCTTAAGGTGAGACGAAAGCTGCTTTAAGACCAGTCCCATTTCCTTTCCCTTTCATATTCCTGGGAACTTTAGTAAGTACCCTTTCCCACTCTTTTGCTTGTAGTCTCTGTTTCAACTGGATCCTCTCATCACCTTGACACATGCTCAGGCTTTTTTCTGTGTACAGACTACACGAAGAAGCCCTCTTTCAGTCCTTTTTCCTCCTCCAGTTGCTAGTCTCTTTCACTTATACGAGTGGTTATCAACCTGTGGGTTGCGACCCCTTTGGGGGTCGAATGACCCTTCCACAGGGGTCGCCTAAATACATCCTGCATATCAGATATTTACATGACGATTCATAACAGTAGCAAAATTACAGTTATGAAGTAGCAACGAAAATAATTTTATGGTTGGGGGTCACAACATGAGGAAATGTATTAAAGGGTAGCGGCATTAGGAAGATTGAGAACCACTGCCTTATACCTAGACCTGTCTAGGATTTGTCCTCATTCAGCCTTCATTTTAATGATTTCTTCTTATGTCTTAACCAACTCCAAACTGAATTCTGCCTCAATCAGTCCACAAAACAGTTTTCATTGAGTTCCTCAATGACCTTCGTATTGGATATTTTTAGTACTTATCTCACTTGACCTTTCTGTGACAATTAAGGCTTTTGTTTTACTTCTCTGGCAATTTTTCTCTCTCCTATATGGTATTCATCCTTCTTGACACACTGTTGAATGTTGAACTTCCTCAAGGATCAATCCAGGGCTCCCTTCTCTTCCTACTTTGTACTGCCTCCCTGGACCATCACATTTATACTTACAAGTTCAGTTATTTTTCGACTTAGAGATAACACACCAATCCAAAACCCTCTCTCTGAGCTACAGACACATATATATCCAATTCCCTACCTGGATATTTCTTTTCTTTTCTTTTTTTTCTTCTTTTGTTAATTCTCAACCTGAGGATATTTTTCCATTGATTTCAGTGAGGGATGGAGGGAGGGAGGGAGGAAGGGAGAGAAAGAGAGAGAGAGAGAGAGAGAGAGAGAGAGATGTGAGAGAGACACATCGATTGGTTGCCTCCCGCATGTACCCCGACGGGAGCTGGGATGGAACTTGCAATCCAGGCAGGTGCCCTTGACTGGAATCAAACCAGTGATCCTTTGGTGCGCAAGTCGATGCTCCAACCATTGAGCAACACTTTTCAGGGCAGGATATTTCTTTTAGATACCTCTAAGGCATGTCAAATTCAATATATTTACAACCACAGTAGTGATCTTTAACTCCAGATGTGGACCCTTATACAGTGACTTTAATTCAATGGACTTGTTCAGCCCCAAATCTGAAAGGAAAATTGCTATAAAGATTGTAATTTTCAAATATATTTTAAGATTTTTATAACCAATTCTAAGTAATGTACTGTGATCAGATAACTTGGCTATCTCTTTTTTGATATTTGTTGAGACGATCTTTGTGGTCTAACATATGGTCAGTTTTTGCTTATGTTCCATGTGTACTTGTAAAGAACACTGTGGCACATTGCATTTCCCAAAGGTGGTTGCAGGAACGCATGCATCCATTCCCATGTGTGCTTCCTGCAATGTGACTGACACTCCTCCCAGAGAGACGGAGTGTTTGTTCTCTTCCGTGGAATCTGGGGTTGGGGGGAGGGCGGCGAGGGGAGGGATTTGTGACTGCCCTGACCAGTGGGGTGTTGTATAAATGGTGGTAATGTGACTTTCAAGCCTAGGTTATAAAACATACAGCTTCTGCCCACCCCTTTCTCCCCCCCCCCCCCCCCCCCGGGAACTCTTACCTTTGGAACCTGCCACCATGTTTTGATGAGACTCAAGCTACATGGAGAGGCCATATGGAGAGGCCACGTGACACCTCAGCTGACAGCACCAGCTAAGGTGTCAGCTAACCCCCAGCAACAACCGGCAGACATTTGAGGGAATGGGCCTTCAGGTGATTCCAGCTCCCAATTTTCAAGTCTTCTAGACGAGGTCTTGGGTATTGTAGCATAGAGAAAAGCTGGCTCATCGTACTCTGTCAGAAGTCCCACTTCATAGAAACCAGAAGAGATAATAATTTATTATTTTTAAGTCACTAATTCTTGTGTAGTTTGTTATGTAGCAATAGATAATCAATGCAAATTCCTATTGTATTATTGCTAACTTCCATTTTACCTAATTAACTTATTTCCACCAGATTTCTTTTGATTCCTGTTTGCTTTGTGTATGGTTTTCTAACTTTTCCTTTCAAATTCTCTTTCTGTTTTAGATGTGTTCCTTATAAACATCACCTAGCAAGGTTTAAAAAAAATCCATTTCTTCATGTCTTTCTTTCTAGAAAATTTACATTAATTATCTTTTTATTTTTAAAATTATTGCTATATTTTGTGTAGCACTTCTGTGTTTGAAGTGGAAAGGGCTATAGCTCAATCTTTATGTTGTCAGCCCATAAATTTGTCAGATTTTACAAAATGTAATATTTCACTATTTAATCTTCCCCAATTATGTTTCCCCAACTCTACTGCAATTCACATAACAAAGCAGGAAGGAGAAATTTCTGATGCTGTCCCATGAAGGGGCCTGTCTCCTGCACTAATATTCCAAGATTGATATCACAGTCCAGAAATCTGGCTTTACTCTTTCGTGGTCATGCATCAGTGGTAATGGGTCCTCGGTGGGATAGGGGTATGTAGAGGGAACTAGGCCAGTAAGGGCTAAAGCAGTTACTTAGAACATTGAAGGGAAATGAAGAAAACCATGGGAAGACCATGGAGTAGTTGGCTATTCCCAACTACTACACCTTTTGAAAATGTTAGGACTTAGGCAACAATGAGGCATATTCCAAATATTTTTGACTATGGAGTTACCATATAAGTAATGTTGGACTGCTATAGAATCAGCCCTTTGAAACCTTGCTATTACTATTGCTTAGCAACTATGATTTACCATCTCTCCTATTATAGTGACTTATATGTGGCCAGTGCATAGGGAGATTCATTTTATATGTCAAGAATTGATTTGAAATGTCATGTATGGCTTCCTCTGTTTTGTGAGTCTCTCTCTACTGAGAAAAGGCTACACTCAGGATTGTACCTGTAAGCTTGCACACATATACAGTAGTTCCCCCTTATCCACGATTTCTCTTTCTGTATTTCCAGTAACCTGTGGTCAATAGCAATCTGAACATATTAATTGAAAAATTTCCTAAGTAAACAATTCCTAAGTTTTAAATTGCACACTTGTGAGTAAGCACGATGAAATCTTGTGTCATCCTGCCCAGGATATAAATCATCCCCTTGTCCATGCTGTATATGCTCCCCCTGTTAGTCACTTAGCCATCTAGGTGATCAGAATGTTTGTCATGGTATCACCATGCCGTGTTCTGGTCATCTTTATTTTACTTCATAATGGCCCCAAAGCACAAGATTAGTGATGCTGGCAATTCAGAAATCTCACAGAGAAGCTGTACAGTGCTTCCTTTAAGTGAGAAGGTTGAAGTTCTCTTCTTAATAAGGAAAGAAAAATAAATCATATGGTTGCTGAGATTTGTGGTAAGAACGAATCCTCTATGAAATTCTGAAGAAGGAAAAAGAAATTTGTGCTAGTTTGCTGAAAGACCACATTAGTTGCAGAATTTACCAGATGACCAGAAAATATACAATGAGTACTTGGAGATTCAGGAAAAACCCTTTATTTTAAGCAGCACTGCTGGCTCAGGGGATTCGAAGATCCAAAGCCTGAACCCCTTATACAATGCAATTACTCCTTATATATATTCCTAAGTTTGTTTCCTAACTACCGGGCTTTGTGGCGGGCTTTCACAGCTCCTCCTGAGTCAGTTAGAATGGGGAAGTTAGATTGTATCTAAATGCCTAGCCTGGGTGGCACCAGCGACCCCCCCTCCAGCCAAACTGCCAAATTCCTGGCCCGTGGCTCCTGCAAACTGGGAGCACCCAAGAAAACAGACTTAATAGTCTAAGTCAAAGGAAGGGGCAGGGACTTAATTATAGGCTAACAAGAATCTGCACTAGGACACTGGTCACTGGCACAGATTCAGATTGTTACTGCCCACCCCCAGTTGCCCTCTGTATTCCTCCTCACATTCACGCAAGTTTTATTATAATATACCAGAGGCTCGATGCACAACATTTGTGCAAGAGTAGGCCTTCCTTCTCCCAGCTGCCAGCACTGGCTTCCCTCTGGCACTGGGGACCGGGGCTTCCCTCTGGCTCCCCGCAGGCACCGGGACCGCGCTTCCCTCGCAGGCCCAGCTTCATCCGGAAGGTCTGGTCTAATTAGCATATTACGCTTTTATTATTATAGATTGCTTTAATTGTCCCATTTTATTATTACTTATTGTTGCTAATCTCTTACTGTGCCTAATTTATAAATTAAACTTTATTAGTGGGAAGTATGTATAGGAAAAATATAGCACATATAGGGTTTGGTACTACCCACAGTTTCAGGCATCCACTGGGGTCTTGGAACGAGTCACCCGTGGATAAGGATAAGGGGGTGCTATATTCATGGGGCAAGTGCTGAGGTCTGGATCGGAAGGACCATGTACCTCATATAAATAAATAGGCATCCTCGAGTAAAACTTTTGCAGGGAAATGGAAATAGTGCAGGAAAGAGGACGCTAAACGAAATAAGAAAATAAAATGCTTGGTCAGATCGAGTGTGCTGCATAACATTTAATTTTATGTTCATCTCTGCACATCCCATTCTGTTGAGTTCACACCTCAAAAGATTTAACTGTAGATCTGGCTATGTTTGCGTGCTTCAATTCAGGGTAGAAGTGTGCCGTTTTCAGTTTATGACTGTGTCTGTTATTGCCTCTTGTATGGGAGGTATGAGGCACAAGTTTTATCAACGCTTTATTTGGCTAGTACCACATACCTTGGCATATGGAAATTCTACTTAGAGATATGGAGAGAAAACGTTTGGTGTTTTACGCAGATAACTCAGTGCTTTCATTTTTATCTCTTTATAGCTTTGAAGCTCAGCAAAGAAGGGAATCCACCGAGAATAGCCTGTAAAGGTAAGTGTATTTATTACATGGCCTTGACAAACATTGCCTTTACAACATTGATTTTTCTTTTGTTCGGAGATTTAAACACTTGGATTAAAGATACAGCTGACAGGACAACTTCCTTAACCACCTGCTTGTCCTCCCTCATAGGCAAAACTGCTGAGCAATAGTTAGCAGAGCGTAGGAGGAAATAAAATGATGTGATGAGGGTACCCAAATTCAATTGTATGCTTGCTGACTTTTGCTTTCTTCTCAGCATTTCAATGGGGCTAAGTTTACCAAGATTAATGCTAGATGGAAAATGAATGCACCCATACCACTTCTGGTCAATAGTTAAATAAGACCAGTTGGCCAGATAAAGCATTTAAAAGAAAATGCAGAGTGGCATTTCAATTGGGTTGGTGAAATTTATCATGAAAGTCAGTTTGTGCCATTGCGTGGAGAAGCTAGTTTTGTAGAAAGGAGAAAGCCAGCCAGTTTGGTGTAGCTAATCTCATTGCACTCCATCAAGGTGGACCCTAAGTGAGTTACAGGAAATGAACTTCCAAGTTCGCAGCAATGGGAAAAGTATCTACTCAGCCTCCCGTGAAGCATTGCAGTCAGTTGGTTTTTACTTGGAAAAAATGTAATTGTTTCCTTTTTGCTAGGTATATTTATAAACATACCACTGTACAGCATTGTTCTTGATTCATTGTTTAATTTCTGTTCTGCATGAAGTGTTTTAATTTAAAGAATTCATTCTGGGGAATTATAGGGCTGCAGTTTCATCAAGAGTCTTTGGTGGCCAGGGTGAAATATGCCGTAATTTTACCTTTGTTTTCATCATCAATTATGTTTTTGACAATTTAAGGTTTTTTTATGTCATTTTTATTATAGTAATCATGACTGTGACCACTTTAGTTAAAGTTGAAAAGCCATTTGATTTACCTTATATTTTAAGTTATTCCTAACTTTATGGCAAATCTACTTTTGGGGTTGAATTTTTACTATTTATTTTGAGGGTGGAAAGGAATTTTATAGGGAAATAGGAGAAAACCATTTTTGAATAATCAAAACATGAGCTGTGAAAACACTGTTTGAGGATTTGCTTTGGGATGACTAAACTCTGGCGCATGAAGCTGGCTCGCTTGGAACTTTTCTGTAATGGTTGGGTCCTGGTGAAGAAAAAATCAACTTAAAAAGTAGATAATTCTCATTTTTAGCCATATAACCTGCATATCTCTGGACCATTGAGCCACATCTTGGAATAAGCAGTACTTGAAAGCTTTCAGGAAAAAGTCTCATAAACTATTGGAGTTAGTGATGAGGAGGCAATCTTCAGAACCTTGAGATCTTTAGGTTTGTTGATGAGGCTCATATTCCTCTTGGAGAGGTTTTTTGTCACACCCGTTTAGCCCATTTCCTCTGCTCTCAATGGAAATCTCTCATTAAATTTGTATTCTAGAGACAGACATGGATCTCCACCTAGTTTGGTTTGTATTAGCTATTGGATCATGGATATGTTATCTACCCCCTCTGTGTCTCAGTTTCCTAATTTGTGAAATGGGGTACTAATACTGCGTTCCTAATAAGACTGTGTTGAGATTAAATGAATTATTATATGTTAGGGGCTTAGAACAGACAGGTCCTGGACCATGGTAAGTACTCACTAGATGCTAGCTGCGGCTGCTCTTGTTACTATTACTGTCATCATTATTAACATCAACATTAGCATCCTTAAGGATGCATTCTTTAGGTATTATGAGAAATCTGTTTTTTTGGAAGCTTCAGGATAATGTCTCCAAAATAAGCATGCTGTTACTAAGAGATGCAAGTTCTGCTTTGTCTTTAGGAATCAAATGAAAAGATAACTTCCAGGTAATATGAAAAGTGAGGTCTTTGAAGTAAAACGTTGTCAGGTTGACATTTTGTAGGCATCAGAGTAAACACTTTTTTTTTTTTTGGCTGTTTGGGGTATTACTAAGTAATATAGTCTTTTTTAATTTTAATTTTATTATTTTTTATTTTTTTAAAATTCTTTATTGTTGAAAATATTATGTATATCTGCTTTTCCCCCCATTGACCACTCCCCACCCACTCTTGCCCACCCCAGCACATGCCCCTACCCCCCTAATTGTCTTTGTCCATTGGTGATGCTCATATGCATGGATACAAGTCCTTTGGTTGATCTCTTACCCCACCCCATCCTCCCCTGCCTTCCCTCTGAGGTTTGATGGTCTGTTCGATGCTTCTATGTGTCTGGATCTATTTTTTGTTCATCAGTTTATGTTGTTCATTATATTCCACAAATGAGTAAGATCACGTGATATTTATCTTTCTCCGACTAGTTTATTTCGCTTAACATAATGTTCTCCAGGTCTACCCGTGCTGTTGCAAATGGTAACAGTTCTTCCTTTTTTTCAGCAGCATAGTATTCCATTGTGTAGATGTACCACCGTTTTTAATACACTCATCTGCTGATGGGCACTTAGGCTGTTTCCAAATCTTGGCTATTGTAAATTGTGTTGCTATGAACATAGGAGTGCATATATTCTTTCTGATTGGTGTTTCTGATTTCTTGGGATATATTCCTAGAAGTGGAATTACTGGGTCAAATAGGAGTTCCATTTTTAATTTTTTGAGGAAAAACCATACTGTTTTCCACAGTGGCTACCCCAGTCTGCATTCCCAACATCCGTGTACAATTTTCTCCACATCCTCGCCATAATATAGTCTTTAAGAAATTAGTGATCTGCTAGCTAATTAGATTCTTAAGGAATTTTTGAAGAAAGTGTTGGTAAGTACAGAGGAACTTCTTCCCCTCCCCTTTTTATTCTGTCCGGTGTCACTTTTTCTTTACTTACTGCACCTTCATTTCCTTTTGAAATAATTAGACTAGTGGAACTATAATTCAGGGGCCTACACTTAGCCTAGGAATGGGTGCATGACCACCAGCTTGGTTAAGAGGGTGAATTTGAATCTTGAGCTGAGGGATTCTTCTTTTTCCTCACAGGCATTCTGCCTGACAATACCTTCTGTGAGACCACTGTAGCCATTCCAATTTCCTAGCCTCCGTGTCTGTCTTGGCCACTGATGGTCTCCAAGCCTTATTTCACTGTGTCTGCCTGGGATTCACTGAGCCTCCAATTTCCTTCCAATGTTCCTTCTTCAATTAACCAATTGGTTTCTGTTGCCTGTAGGCATAGAACCCTATTTGATAGAGTAGTGTAGACATTACAGAGGTTTAGAATACATGGGGCATGCTTGGAGGCGTGCAGGTTAAATACCACTCATTGCTTTCTTCCATCAAGTATATGAGTAAGCAGCTGGACATTTTGCTGTAGATTACAAAAGGTGCAGAATTCTCAATTAGCATTTCAAAAGTGGGCTATTTTGCTGGACTCTCTAGTACTTCTGTGTTTGGTAAAAATAAGTCACTTTTGGCTACTTCTCTAAGCTCTCAAGGATGTGTGTGTATATGGGGATGGAGTTGGAAATGAGAAGAGAAGCAGGGAGGTAATTTTTCTAATTTCTGGGGCGCTGGTCTCTTTGTGACCTGGGATTATGAAGGGCTGAGGTTTCCTTCTACTTACCCCAGCATTCCAACACAAAACTCTTTATATCTTTTTGTACTTTCCCCTGAATTTTTACTCCCCTTTTGAACACTTTTCTTGTCCTACCAAACACCTTCTTTTCAATGATGTGTAAAATGTGATTGAAAACTCAATTACTTCAGTCTCTGGCATTGCCGTGGTTTCCTGAGAATGGATGGGCAAGTTTACTCTCTTTCCCCTTGTGTCTTTCTACTTGTTGACGACTTCTGTGTTCTGTGCAGTGCCTAGAACAAAGCTGGTTAATGACTTTCTCAAAGGGACATCTGTTTTGCCCTCCTGTGAGTTCAGAGACAGCAGCATTGGATTGGATGGTGGCAGGAGCCTTAGCTGAGTGTTGGGAAACCTGCCTTCGCATTTGGGCCCTGATGCTTGTCACCTTCATGAGTCTGGGAGACATACCTAACTTTCTTAAGGTTTCAGGATCCTCAACTGTAAAACCAGGATAAGCTTTGCCCTATTTCTGCATAGGGCTGTTCTGAGGATGGCATAAAGATAATGTGTGAAAAAGTGCTTAGCAAATTGTAAAGTGCTGCATAACTTATCTGCTTTGTTATTAACTAGTATTATGGCACATATATTTATTAAACAGATTGCAAACCTGAGGGCTTGTTTTATGGGGCTGAGGAGGAAAGGGAAGTAAATGAAAAAAAACAAAAATAAAAACCACATTGTATACTACTATAGTGCCTGTGCTGGATATTTTTTATTTATGCCTCCTCGCTCCTTTGAAAGGCTCTCAGCCCTGGGCCAGCATTCCCTGGACTCCCTTGCTCTCTGGCTTGTTGTTGGGTTAGCCAGTGGAAGGCTCTGGGCAAAACTCTAGAAGGCGAGGCTGGGGTATTATTCCCTGCCTTCTTTGCAGCCCCTGGTTGCCAGTGGCTGTATTCCTCTAAGGAAGGCCACAGTTCAGGTGGGGCCTCTCTTCTGCAGAGACCGCTCTTTCCACATCTGGTAGGTGTTCCCTTCGCCTTTAAGACTGGGTGGTGATGGTGGTATTTTTGCTAACCCTAGGGCAGAGGTCCTCAAACTTTTTAAATGGGGTCAGTTCACTGTCCCTCAGACATTCCACACATGAGCACTGCGGGCCCGGGACGAGTCGGCTGCTAAGCAGGACAGGCAGCGGCAGCAAAAACATGTGGCCAGTGGGCCGTAGTTTGAGGATCCCTGCTCTAGGGTGCTAGGCTGCCCCTCTTCATTTCCCTTCACCTTGCCCATACCCTTCATGAAATTCACCTCAGTGACCCCAGGTGCAGGTGCTGTCTCTTTCCTGCTGCGACCTTAATTGCACAAAGCACTTCTTTATATTTTCTCCTGCTTCAGTTCAGTTCAGCAGATGTCTTTTTAAGACTTACAGTGTGCCAGGGACATAGTGTTTATCATACACTTTCAAGGACATTTTGGTGATAGAGTGGGGGT